TGCATGATACAATTTCAGTGTTGATTGTGGCATGATTTATGGTCACAGTCACAGAAGGACCACCACCATCTCCCCACTTACATTACAACAGCTACATCCAGATAAACTTGGCATTCCATGTCGTCTCCGTGAAAACAGCCTTGTAAGGGGAAAGAGAACTGGGCAGAAGCTCAGAAGACCTGAATCAGGGCTCTGGTTCTGACATTGCTTGGGCATGCACTTTGTGTTATCTAATATTCATTCTCATTCTCTCTCTCTCTCCCCTCTAACAAAATATATCTTCTGATGACACATGGTTTCTTTTATCAAACAATGAGAATTAGGAAATCATCCAGTTGCCCTCTTTGCCTTGACTGCTAGGAATCTCAGAGCTAAATTTTATAATCAGCCATAGTAGCTGTCCTGGGTTTAGTTTTCCTGGTAGAATCAACTGCCTACCTAGCTCTCATCCATGTGTTACTGTTTTTCTTACCTTTTTAATTCTGTAAGTGATTTGCAGTTCCTCCATTGTTTATATTTGTTATTGTAGGTTGACCAGAATTCTATTTAGAAGTAGATGTGACACAAATAACTTTTTCCTTTTAAATGAATAGGCAACTTTGGGAGCTCTAAGCATTCACAAAGAGGAACTTAGAGGGGAGAAAAAAGAGCCAATGCAAAACGATTTCTTTATAAAAGCCCTTTTACTTGATTCAATCCAACCTGAGAAAATAAAGTTTTTCACTCCTGTTTTTTTTGGGAAATAAAATAGTAGCTACCACCTCAGAGGCTGGGATACCTTAGGCCTTCTTACCTGACCCCTCCAGGCTGCCACTGCAGCTGAAGCATGGAGCTGTTCTTGTCCCTCTGCCCTATTTTCACAAGCCTTTTTCCCATCTCCCTGGGGAGGTGGGCTGCGTGGTCTCCGATGGCCCGTATGTTTTAGGTCTGTTTTGTTATGGGTTTCATAACTCAAGCAAGATTGTGATTTATCATCCTCCTATGCTGTGACAGCCTTCAATACTAGCCCTAGGTATTTATGTAGGAATTTAATAAATTCTAAAATTTATTGGTCCTACTCCAGGCTCAGAGATCTCCCTATAGATGTATAAGGATTTCTTGGGGGTCCTTGGATAAAAAAGAATAGCAGATGTTCTTTGCTTTCTCTCTCTCTCACACACACACAGGCAGTTGGCAGTATCATCAGACATTCCCACAGCTTCTTACATAGTACAGGGCTGCTAAGGTCTAGCTGAATCTCACAGTGGCTTGGCCACAAGGGACATCACTCCAGCCCAGGGTCAGCCAGTCAAGGGTGGAACTCACCTTGCTCATCTGAAAAACATAAGGAGAGAGAGCTCTCATTAGGCAGGAAATCCAGCTCTTTCACAAGCCCAAACCTGAATAGAAGCTGCTATAGAAGACCCTCCACCCGGATGCCCCCCTCCCTCCCACAAGACCTGCTATCCTACCAGTGACATTTGAATCCATCATTGGAAATTCTGGAAAAGGGTGAGGGAAGGAATCCTTGGCTTCTTGGGAGAGGAAAAGGAAACCAATATTGATTGTACAACTATGTGCCAGGCACAATGACAAGCTCCGCACAGGATGTCCTTTTATTCTACCGTTTGCATAAATATCATTGTCCCGGTTTTACAGATGAAGAAACTGATGGTCGAATGAGAGGAGCTGACTTGCTCTAGATCACATGTTCCTAAGAGACAGAGCCAGGATTCGTACCCAGGTCTGTGGACAGAGACAGATGGGGAAGAGGACAGGAAACGGGGAAATGGTAACCGTTGGAGACCCCCTGCTTGGCCACACACCTCCTGCACCCCAAGGCACACCTACCCAGAAGAGGTAGAAGCCAATGGCGAGGTGAGGCTTCCGGGGGCGGTGCCTGTGCCTGGGCTTCTGGAGCAGAGACACCCGCACGCTGCAGGGCCTCAGGGACCCCTGCCCTCCTCAGGCCTCCAGACGGACAGCAGGAACTGCGGGTTCTTCCAAAATGTGCCTGAGACAGAAGGCAGCAAGGTGAGAGCAGGCCCTGGGTCCCCAAGCATCCTGCTCACCAGACCACTAAGAGGTGCGCAGCCCGAGGACACCTCAGGCCCATTGGGACAGAGTCGGGGTCCCTTCAACCTTGGCTCTATGTCCCCCACCCTCCTGCTCTTCCACCTCAGGTTCTTCCGCAGACACGCCCACCCAGAGCTGTTCCCATCACTATGGTCTCTCTGTGCCTGACCCAGACATAAGCATTTGTGGCCTGAATAAGTGACCGTGCCAACTCAGTGAGGAGAGCGTGCCCGCAATCCCAGGGGCCTGTGCGTTTCACTGGGGCACAGCCTTAGCTGAAAGGCAGCTCAGCCTCTGCGGAAAACACTGCGGTGGGAGGGGGACGCCAGAGCTAGGGCCTCGCTGGCCGGCTGAGATCACACCCCACAGGCCTTTCTGGCAAAGGGATGGCTCCCTGCCCGCACTGTGGAGAGGGGCCAGTCACCACACCTGTCCGGCTTGAGAATTAGACGTTTTTGTCTCTTGTATCTAGCGAGCACAGGAATCCCCGAGTGTTTCCCTCCCTGGTCCAGGTGGGGAGGGCCGGGTACCTATCATACAGTTACTGTTGCAATCCCGCCCACTTAAGGGGTGGTTACTTGAGCATATCACTGACCTTGTCCTAAAACCAAAGCAAGATTTCACAGACCCCTTCTGGTGCCTGCGTGCTGACTGGGAAGGGGCATCCATCCCTCTGCAAAGAGGCAGCCCCACAGACTGATGGCTTGACCAAGAGGACTCTGCCTCTGTGTGCATTAGAACCAAGGTGCCCGCCTTTCCTGTGCACACACTAGGAGGCCAGAGTACGCGGCTGGGCGCGCAGAGCTTGCGCAGTGCCCCGCCCCCGGCATCCCCAACCAGGAACCCTGCGCCTAAGCACACGCTCACCTCCCTGCGCCTTCATCCGGCCACCAGCTGTGCGCCCCTTCTCCCATCTCCCCTCCCGCACGGTGTACGTCCACTTCTTGCCCACCTCCTGACTCAGCAGCCCTGGGGTCAGTTTACAGATGACAAGGTGCATGAAATTTGCTTTAAAGTCCTGCAGTGTCATCCTGCGGAGAAGAGAAGGAACAGCACAAGACATGAGCGAGATGATGCCTAGTCGTCAGGACCAAGTTAAGCAGTGAGCAGCCCAGCCCTACCCCAGGCCGTGGCCGCGTCCTCCGAGCTCTTGTGCAGAGCTGGGCTGGCCTTGGAGACATGAGATGGGGCTGGCTAGAGCCCAGTGACCGTCCATCGTAGGGAGGATCACAGTGGTAAAAGCTGAATTGAGGCATTCCTAACTAGTCATTTTGTTTATAAATGTTCAATAAGAATTGCATAAATCAGCTCTCAATCATTAATGGATAAAGATCTTCATCCCTACTTGCTAACTTGTGACCTGTGACATGCTAAACTGTCTGATGCTCAGTTTATTTATCCCTAAAATTGAAACAACAGAATTTGCAGGGCTCTACAACTGAATTATACCAACAAGAAAAAGAGTTCTCTCTCTTTTTTCTTTTTAAGAGACAGGGTGTGGCTGGTCCGAAGCTAGGGAGTTATCTCACTTGATTGTTCACAGTAAGTTACAGATTGAACTCCTTGCTCTACTACTTAACCCCCCTCCTCACTACTGCAGTTGACTAGTCTTAAAAAAAAAGAGACAGGGTGTCACTCTGTTGCCCAGGCTAGAGTGCAGTGGCATCATCATAGCTCACTGCAGCCTCAAACTCCTGGGCTCAAGCAATCCTCCTGCCTTAGCCTCCCAAGTATCTAGGACTATAGGTGCGTGCCACCACACCTGGCTAATTTTTCTATTTTTTTGTAGACACAGGGTCTCCCTATGTTGCTCAGGCTGGTCTTGAACATCTTGCCTCTAGCAAACCTCTCTCCTCAGCCTCCCAAAGTGCTGGGATTACAGGCGTCAGCCACCATGCCCAGCCTTGCAGGGCTCTTGAGTTCAGTGAAAGACCTTCAAAAGAGAGAAGGCCACAGCAGTCTGAACCGGACGCTTAATGAAAGAACAGGAGTCCATAGGAACAAAGGTTGCAGTCAATAGTAAAAGTGACGTGCAAAGACAAAGGGGAACAGATGGGGCTCCTGTCAGACATCCAGTAGCAGCATCAGCTCAGGAAGTCTTGGTGGCCTTTCATAAAAAGGGGTGAGTAGCTTCGGGGTGGATGGGAGTAGTGCTACTCTGCTCTGGGGGGCACAGATCAGGGGAGCCCATCGTTTGGTGAGACTTTGTAGTCTGCTCCTTCCTCATCTCCTTTTCAGGATCAAGAAAGGCAAAACCCTGGGGTTGAGTGTATTGAGCAAGAGAGCAGACTGGAAGCCAGAGAGGAGGAGGTGGCCTGCCCTGAGCCCCCACTGAGCTCCATGCTAGTGGTCACCGCTCTCATCAGGGAGACTGTGACAGTATTTACCAGGGCTGTTGGCCCTGCTGGGCTGGGAGCTCCTAAGGGAATGGTGCTTTACTGATGTCTGTACAGGAGGTGCCCGGCACACGTGAGACACCCAATAAACGTCTGCTGGATGGGTGTCCAAATATAAACCAGGACATTTGTCCCAAGTCCCTGAGTCAAATACCAGAATTCTCCATCATTATGTTTCCTCAGAAGCAGAATCTTCTCCTTGGGGCTCAGCAGCTCCCATGTAGTTGAACTGAAAACAGAAAAGAAATGTTTTCACAGAGATTGAAAAGACTGTGCAGGGCATACTAGAAATACTTTAGTAAATGCTTCACATGGTCATTATTTATTATTTTTATGCTGCTTTGCAGACAGCTAAATCTTACATTCCATATTATGAAAGTAATATTTAACATTAATTGATCCCTTACTATGAGCCAAGCACTGCGCTAGGTTCTTAACATATCTTATTTCATTTAAGGCTAACAACAACTTTGAAAAATGGGAATATTTATCCCCACTTCAGAGATTAGGAAACTGAGGTCAAGAGAGATGAAGTCACTTGCTCAAAGTCATAAATCTATTAAAATTCAGAGCTAGTATTTGAAACTGCTTATTTTGAAAGCCCATCATTTTGAACTTCTGCTTCTGGCCATGAAGGAGTAATACTGTTCTGTATCAGCCTCCTGCCATAAACAACTAAAAATGGAACAAAACATAAGAAACTATTTTCAGACATTGGACAGCAGGCAGCATAGGACTGTGATCCCGAGAGGCAAGAAACAAGGCGAGCCCTAAAGTCACATAGGTTCTCTTCCCGAAGGTAATCTCCGGGTAGTGATGCAGGGAGGGGAACCCAAAGAGAACTTAGCCTTGCTCAGTGGAGGAGACAGAGTCTGGAGTTCGAGGAGACCAACCAAGACAGCCAGAATTTGCTGACAAAGTACCTGAGGGGAGGGAGCTACCTAACAAAGGAATTCCAGAAAACTTCAAAGGGGTTCCCTGGAGTCTTCGGCTGAAATCTAATTTGTGAAACCCCAAAAGACAGGACTGTAAGCAAAACAATTCCCAGAGCTCACGCAGGGCTATGAATCGGATGAACTTCCACCAGCCAGGGTTAGAAGACTTTATTGAATACATGGAGTCTTTGCTAGAGATCCCAGAGGATCTACAACTTAGCAGTGGAGTCAAATTATCCCTGAAATGACAGTTTCTCCTGACCTGCCCTAAAAGTGCTTAAAAACTTCAAAGTATCAAAATAATCCCTAAGCAATAGGACTGCCTGCCAGAAAAAGCCTAACACTCTTTAAAGGAATATGATAAAACTCAGCATTCAGAAACTAAAATTTGCAATGTCCAGCATCCAATAAAAAATTACTAGCCATATGAAGAAGCAGAAAACGTGATCCATGACCAGGAATTAAAAACAGTCAGTAGAAACCTACCTAACAATGACAGTGATGATGGAATTAGCAGATAAGGACATTAAAAGAGCTGTGATAAATACGCTCCAGATGCTCAGGATAAAACGGGAAATGACATAACGGGGAAGATATGGAGGATATTCTCAAGTGGGATTTCTACAATTGAAAAATATGCTGGATAGGATTAAAAGCAGATTAAACACTGTGTAATAAAACCTATCATTTTATTTAATTTTCACCACACCTCTGGCTCAGAGAAATTAAGAAGCTTCCCTCAGATCACACAGCTAGGAAGTAAGAAAACTGGAATTTTACCCATCATCTATCCCTAATGTTAGTACTTGTTCTTCCATGAAACAAGCCACCACCACCAACAATGCGATGCTGTATTTCTGTAGCCCATTAAAATTTATATATTTCTTTGGTTGAGATTTTGCCATGTAGGCCCAGCTCCTCTGACAACTGTTTGCTAATGTGTAACACACATAATGCAGCACATAGTATCAGGAATAAAATTCACCCTGTTTTCCTAAGCCTTCCTTTTTCTCATTATAAAAATGATTGAGTGATAATGTATATGTGGGACATGTTTGCATACTCTAAAGCAGCAGTCCCCAGCCTTTTTGGCACCAGGGCCCGGTTTCACGGAAAACAGTTTTTCCATGGATGGTGGGGGGTGACGGCAGTGAGGGGCAGCAAAGCTCTGTGGCCGGGTCCCTAACAGGTCACAGACGAGTAACCCACTGTGGCCCCGGGGTTGGGGACCGCAGCTCTGAAGTATTACACAGGATTGTGTTGTAAATCTTCGTAACAACAGGGATAAGGACATTAGTAGAACTTAGCTTCCCTTTCTGCCTGTGCCCTACAGCCAGTCTGTAGCCTCTAAAACCCACATCCCTTTACGGCTGCCTTTAGGGAGAAACAACCTAGAACACAGGCATCTAAGCAGAATGCCCAGATGCCACTAAATGTAACCCGAGTGTAGGGGCCAATGAAGATTTGTCTACCTTTGACTCAATGAGCCCCTGACAATGTCCCGAACCATGCCAAGGAGAGACACTGGACCAAGGCCCCAATGACCTTGGCTGAGTCATGCTGTGTGACCTTGAGCAATTCAATTAATCTAAGCATCAGTTTCTCTATTAGTGAAATGAGGATAAAACTACTTTATTATAGTGTTGTTTGGGGGATTAAATGAGATAATAAAAATTCAAAGGGCTTAGCACAGTGCTGGCAGGCCCTCAATAAACATTAGCTTTAACTATTGCAATGTAAGAGAAAGAAGTCTATATACCATAAAGCATCTTAGAAATGTGAGCAGTTGAGCCCCACGGTCTGAAAGATTCCTGATTCAGCCTGAGGTCACAGGCAGCACATGTGAATTTGTGCGCAAATGGCAACCTCCCTTGCAGCCTTCATCTACCCCGTTCTCGCCCCTCCCCGATGGTCCCGAAGTTCACCTGTCACTCCAGTCTCCTTTCCATTCCACTTTCCCCCAGGGGTTCCGTAGCTTAACTAGATATTCAGGTCCATATTTGCAGGTCACCTGCACAAAACAAGAGGCAGTTTAGGTGGCTGGGCTGAGTGCAAGTGTTCTCAATACCTGAGTGACACTCAGGCCTGCAGGTGAGCAGTTGCAATGGGAAGTCACAGGTCCAGAGAGAGGAGGTAGAGGACATGGGGGCTCTGCTACTTGTACTTCTTAGGCAAATTGCCTAACCTCTCTGTCTCAGTTTCTGCTATTCATACCTGCAGCAGTAGGCTGAATGGTGACTCCTCCCAAAGGGCACATCCACTCAGAACCTGTGAACATGACCCTATTTGGAAAAAGGCTTTTTGCAAATATAATTAAGTTAAGGATTGAGATAAGATAATCCTGAATCAGAGTGGACCCTAAGTCCCAAATCAAGTGTTCTCAGAAGGAAAGAGCAGGGGAGAAGACACGTAGGAGGAAGACAGAGGCAGAGACTAGAGTCGCGTAGGAGTGCCTGGGGCCGTCAGAAGTCGGAAGAGGCAAGGAGGGACTCTTCACCACGGCCTTGAAGGGCATGTGGCCCTCTTGACCCCTTGATGTCAGACTTCTGAACTTCAGAACTGTGAGAAAATAAGTCTCTGTTGTTTTAAGCCACCCAGCTTGTAGTAGTTTGTTGTGGCAATGCAAGGAAATTAGCATAGCTACTTACGGTAGTGTCATGAGGATTAACCGCACTTAGCACACGGTAAGTGCTATATACATCTTGTAAAATAAATATGAGAATAAATTAAAAGTTCTTGACACATAAACAAACATGGTTGTTGGAGATCTAGAAGGAAAAGCTTAGGTGTGAGTTGAGTTCAAGAAATTTGGAACAGAGTTAAAGGAAATCACAGGGCTTTGGGGGAGTTGGGCTCGCTGGAGAATGTCAGAGGCTCCCTAAGCTTCAACCTGCTGGTTTCTTACCTCTCCGCTTTGCTCATGCTGCTCCCTCTCCCAGAATCCTCTTCTCCCTGTATCCAAGTCTACCTCTCTTTCAGGGGCCAACTCAGTGTCCCCTCCTGTGTAGACTTTCCTGACTTCTCCCCAGCCCAGCTAGGTGGATGCCCTTTCTCCACCTCTGAACTCCTAAGCCTTCACCCACACTTTCTTCTCTGGGGTCTGCTTTGCTTCCTCGCCACTGCCAGGCATGGTTTGTCTCCATACGTAACTCTGCGTCTTTGTAAGCAGGGCCCCTGTCGGATCCGTCTTCCTCGCAATGCTCAGCAGAGCTCAGAAGATGAGCAGCAATTGTTATGAAGAGCATGTGAGAGCAATAGGAACTTGGGAGGGATGAACTAGATGTGCAAGCTGGTGGTGGCAGCCCAGGCGAAGCTCGGGAAGGGCTGTGAGGCACAGCGGGGCTGGGTGGTGACTGGCTGAGGGCTGCCCCACGGGACAAGGTTGGGACAGTGCACTGGAGGCGGCAAAGGCGGGACCCACTGCTTCACCCTGGAAATAGGTGCAGAGGCACGGGGAAGCCGGCCACTTGCTCTGGCAGGCCCTGGAGGACTTAGCAGAGACTGTCCCCAGTCCCCAGACTGGGCACAGACACCAGCAGTCCCCAAAGGAGCTGAGGCCTTGGCAAGAGCCCTGGGGGTGCAGGGGAGAGAGGCTGAGAGGGAGGGGCCCAGCCCAACTCACCTTCCTGAGTCCAGTGAGAGTGTAGGCATGGCCGTCCACCAGCCCGTTCTCCAGAACCTTCTCCTTCTGTGGAGACAAAAGAGGGGTCCTGATTGGTCCTCTGTTCCGTACAGCCTGTTCGTGGAATCATGGGAGGCCTATCTGGCTGGAGCAGGGGTTTCCGGAGAGGGGAGTGGAAGAGAATCACTGCATAGCGCATCGCAGTTTCCAAAGCTCTTCAGCATCCATAGTCTATGCCACCCTCTCCATAGCAAGCATGCCACTCTGCAGGGATTATAACCTCCATTTTCCAGAGGACAAACTCAGTCTCGGGGCTGCTAAGTGAATGGGTAAGGTGACATGCATGGCCATTAGTGAAGACAGGGCTGGAGTGAGGGCTTCCTACCCCTGTTCCGTGGTTTTCGTTGTTGTTAAATTGGACATTTCGAAAGTGCCCTGCATGTAGTTGGCACTTATTAATTGTTGGCTCCCTTCTCTGCACTCCATTTTCATTCTACTGCTGCCTTGCCTGCTCGAAGACCCAGCTCTGCTGCTCTGGTTTGAACACCAGGACTCTAGGTGCAGGAGCTGCGCGGAGGTCCCGAGCCCACACCCAAGGGAGAGCAGCAGCTGCTGGACGACGGGGATGGGAAGGGAGAGGAGGACATTCTGCCAGAGCCAGCCCAGCCTTACCCCTGAGTGGGTCTGGCAGCAGATGAGGGTTCTGCCGTAGGTGGCTTGGGCTAGGATGTCCCAGAGGTGGCAAGGGGCTTCTGCCAGGTTGATGGTCATTGTCATCCCTCCGGTGAAGTCCACAAGGGCTTCAGACACCTGTCCACAGTGCAAGTCTTCACAGGAACCGGAGAGCCTGCCCAGGGAATGCAGAAACATGAGAGGAGAAGGGTGCAGCAAGTGCTTGTAATTTTATGTGTTGCCTCGGCATCCACTTTTTTCATATAGGTTTCAAATTCTCCTACCGGAAGCAGGGCTCAGTCATCCTTCACACAGTTCCAGTCCTATACCCCACCTGAATGGCTCCAGCTGGTGGCCAGAGATAAAACCCTGAGGCATCTCTCCTGCCTGGCAGGCTGGTCTCCCTGCTCTGTCAATTCCTTTAAACAGACCATTCAGACATTTGCCTGCGAACTTAAAGCGACCTCCTCTCAGTCACAGTGTGACCTCCTGGAACTCATGCCTGCTTGCTTTAAACCCACCAATGAAAGCTCCCCATGGAAAACCTATTTGGATAACACCCTGGACCCAATAAAGGCACTGACCCATGGTCCCTTCTCTCTCTTTCTGCCTGTGCTCCCCAACTTCAAAAACTCTTAAAAACTTTCACATTGTCATTGTGTCGTTGAAGCCAAGCAATTCCCAGAGGGACCCAAGCAGGTGGATCTCATGCTGGTGCTCCCTTGTCCAGACCTTTCGGCTGTTAGGAACAGCAGTGACCAGCTAAGTTGAGAGAGTTTCATTCAAAACAAAGGGAGGGGACATTTATGCCACAGAAGGGCTGGCCCAAATGGGTGGTGAAGCCTGTGCTTTGCCAGCCTTTGGGCAGGTGCTGCTATTCCTTCCTCCATCCCAGGGCAAAGGAGAGAATATGTGCTCTGAGTTCCTAGCCCTCTTAAACAACTCTGTCCATCAGGGAAAGGCAAAACTCCTTAACGCTTGTTCAGATGGGGTGACCCCCACATAAAGGACGCTGAATATGTTGTCACTTCTGCTTTGGCTGAGACGTGCCTCAGTATCTCATTTCATTAACTTTGCCTGATTCCACTCCCCTCCCTCAGCACTGGGGGGTCGGGGGGAACGGAAAGGAGGTATTTCCACTGGCTGTCTTACTTGGCACAGGCCTTTTCCAGAAGAGCTCCCCAGAACAAGTTCTTGTAGGTGGAAGATACAAAGACCAGCTGGCCAGCCTCATTCACAGGCAGACGGTCATCTATCACCACAGGGACCCAGTTCCCCAAGTGCCAGAACTGGAGGGAGAGAGTGGCCCCTGGTGAGTGAGGATGGCCACGGGAGATGGTCAGCCCAGGAGGCAAAGATGTGGCTCCTCCCAGAACCCTCTTCCCTATGGCCCCCCACCCAGGCCAAGGCCCCAGGAGGGCACTCACCCAGAACCAGAAGATGCCAGCATAATTCTTAGTGAAACTCTGATTCAGGGGAACGACCCGGCTCAGGATGTCCTGGTGCAGAGTCAGAGCTTGCAGAGCAGCCAAGAACCAGCAGTCTCCTAAGCCAACAGCACACAGAGTCTGCATGAACCTGCTGAGGATTCCTCAAATGCCAAATGCCTGGTCCCAATTGCTATCCTCTCGGGGCTTGTAGCCTAGTTTAGGAGAAGGGACTTGTCTACCAGGGAGGAGGATGGTGAGTGGGCAGAGGATGGGAACATTGGCTGGAATCCAAATCCGACACCAAAAACTGAGCCATATTCCTGGACCAGCTTTTAGCTTCCTGAATGCCCCATTCTCAGGAATTTGGACCCAAACACCACCAACATTTTTCTGAATCCTACCTCTGTAACTGACGTATGCTCTTCTGGGAAAGCCTCAGCCCTTCGGGACGGCGTTGCCCTGTGTGTGAAATGTATGTCACTGTACTCGTGCCTTTCCCCATGTCCAAGGCTCATTTCCATTTAGTCTTAAAAAAAGTTGAGTTGAGGACAGGCCTGCCCTAGACCCTATTCTGGGGAGTCTAATGACTGGCGTCTCAGGAAGGACCCATTGTGGGGACTAAAACAGAGTGAGCACATTTTCCAACACAAAATTTAGACCCGTGAGTTGGTAACGAGGACTATGGGGACTTAGGCCAGGCGTGGCATTCCCACACGTCCTCAGAGGGCCAGTTTTCATAAACTTCACAACAAAGGACAGAGCACGTCAAGGTGAAGTTCAGGGTTTGCTGCTGGGTAACTCTTTGTGGCCCGTCCACCTTTTCCCTGATGGGGACTTCTGGATCCCTCTTTGTCTCCCACTCTGCCTCCCCTGTGTGTCCAGGGCCTACGCAGACTTACCCACCACGCCTTGGCACAGGCCCAGCCTTTTGGTCTGGGCAGAATAGAACTGAGGGTTTCTGTGCAGCTCCTGGTGGACAGAGGAAATTGTCATTCTGACCTAGAACAAAGAAACTCCTGGAGCTATAATGACCATGTTTTTCCATACCCCAAAACTGGATTTATGGGGACAAAGATGTAGAACATATGTGAAATCAGGGCTATTCCAGAAAATATGGGATACAGATTCTGTCCCTTGTATTTCTCGTTTCTTCTTATAGCTCATGTAATTCAGAGAACTCTGTGTAGAGATTGAGAAATAGCACTTGTGCCAAAAATGCCTTTTCTTGGGGTTTCCATTAAAAACACAAGCACATTTTATAGGGGATATTTTGAGTTTTCCTAGAGATCTTCTCATTCTCTTTATTCTTCTTATTCCTTGGTCCCTTCCTGCTCCCTAATGTACTGGCTTCTCTGGCTTTTCATGCTGAGATGTGGGCTATGGTAGGCGTGGTATGGCCAGTGGTCTCTGCTCCACGCAAGCTCTAAATCCCTCCATCTCTGCGTGGACACGGTTCTCCCAACAGTCAGGTGTGTGACAGTCTCTCTGTCAGCAGCTCCTAAGATTTTCTGGGAGAACAAATAGTATCTTGGCTGCCATCTAATATAAGAGGCCCACCTGGGAATTTTACACATAGCAGGGACTTCCTGAGCCTGGAACTGCAGGCATTGATGGCGATGGCTGTGTGGGGAACAGAGGAGGAAAAAACGTGTGGCCCCAGCTGCCTTCACTTTGTTCATCAGCCATGTTCCTGGAATCTTCTTTGTAAATCATGTTTGGGGGAGATGGATTACATTGGAACACATTAAGAAGTTGCCTTTCAAAGGAATTATTGATGCATTTTATTAAGGGAAGAATACTTTTGTAAAACAATTAATAGCTTCTTAATTTACATGTTTCATGAGCCTGTCGGGGGGTTGGGGATTGGAGGTATATTAAAATTTGTGTCTCTGGCAGAGGGTATTGGCTGTGACTCAGGAGGCCTTGCCATCTCAGATGAAACTAAACAGTACCTTGATCAATTTGTCACTGCACCTGCTCTGCATGTTTCTGGGCAGGGCCTGAGGAAGAGCTCCATCTTAGACCACTCTCAGGGTCACCCCCTGTTTTCTCCATCTAGAAAGTGGGAATATCAGAATTTACCCAGTTCCCTTCTCCTGGAGATCAATGAAGTAAGACCCAGTGTGATATTGGGAAATGTGTATCTGGCCTTCATCTGATCTTCCAGCACACAGCTCCTAAACCCTTGAGATCTCTGGCGTGATAAGGGTATCTTTAGTATGCTAATGAGATGAATGGCAGCTGGGGTCCCCTAGACAGCTTCAGGATGGGGCTGGTCACTGGAAAGACCAACATATGGTTAGAGGGTAGGGACTTTCATCCCTTACCTACAAACTCTGGGAGAGGAGGGAGACTGAAGGTTGAATTGATTACCAAAGGCCAGTGATTTAGTCACCCATGCCCATGTAATGAAGCCTCCGTAAAGGATAGGATTCGAGGAGCTTCTCCATAGCTGAACACGCCTGGGAGGGCATGGAAGCTCCACACCCCTTCCCCCACACCCTACCCTACACATCTCTTGATCTGTATCCATTGTAATAGCCTTTAGAATAAACTAGTAAACAGAAGTCAAGTGTTTCCCTGAGTTCTGTGAGCCTCCCTAGAAGATTAATCAGCCCAAGGAGAGGGTCACAGGAACCCCGATTTACGGCTGGTCATCAGAAGTACAGGTCACAACCTTGGACTTCCAGTTGGTATCTAAAGTGGGGGTCCGTCTGTGGTGCTGAACCCTTAACTCGTGGGGGCTGATGCTATCTCTTGGTAGAGAGTGGCAGAAGTGACTTGAATTAGAGGACACTCAGCTGGTGTCGTCAGGAGAACTGGTTGGTGTGTGAGCAAAACCTCCCACACATCTGGTGTCAGAGTGTTTGCTGTGTTGAGTGGAGAGTAGGAAAACTGCTTTGTTTTCTCCCTGTGTATCTTAACCTGTTATCCAACAGCCCTGAGCCTGGGGCATGTTGCGTGTGTCCCCAGAGCCCCTCCGGGGCCTCGCCAGGGGTCTCTTCCACTGCAGGCCGGTTGGCAGCTTCCGCAGCAGGTGCCCGCTGCCCACGGAGCTCAGGGTGGCCGGGAAGCTGCTGTCCTCAAAGAGGCAGTGGTCTCTCAGGCCCCCTGCCAGCAGGGCTTCGAAGTCTTGCTGGGGGAGCTGCGGGGAGGCCTGGCTCCAGTCGCTCTGCCCCAGTTTCCACATGCCACAGATGGAGCGTGGCCACAGAGACATGGCAGGCAGCGGACAGGGTCCCACGAGTCTTCCCGGGTGGTCTCTGTGGCTCCTGAAATGGAGAGCCCACGGTCAGTTTCTGCGCTTTCTGTTTGTGCTTCGCTTTGCCCCAGAGAGGGGGGCGGTTGGGGGGATTTGGGGGGGGGAGTTGGGGGGGGGTTTTTGGGGCGGTTGGTTCATTTTTTTTTCTGGGGGTTGGGGTTTTGGGGGCTTTTGTTCAGTTGCTTGGGGCCTGGTGTGGATCTGGGATCCCACAGCGAGCACCTACCTGAAGGGAAGGGTCTCCCCAGCCTCAAGGCTGGTCCCGGGCCTGACGCACCAGCGTCACAGGGGCCCCTCTGCTTAGCGGGGAGGTGGGGAGAAGAGAAGCAGGAATCCGAAGCTCAGTCCCCTGGGCTCCGGGATCTGTGCCTGCAGGGCAGCGAGGAGCGGGTGTTGCCTGTCAGTCCTCCACCCGGGGCCTGCCAGCTCCTGCCTCCCAGCTGCACACACGGTGGCCCTCCTTCTCTGATGTCCTCCTCTTCCCTGCAAAACCTCCTTCTACATTCTCTTTAAAAAGAACTCCACCCTTGAAGAATTTCTTGGTAATGTAAAAGAAAAAAAAAAATCACACATGCATATTGTGGCAAACACAAACAGTTGCCTGTACACACCCATTTCCCCTTTTCCTTGTCAACAGAATCCCAGTTTGATCCCCTAGCGACAAAACTTGATTTCCTGGGGCTTTTTGCAGAACAGTTCTGGCCAATGAGATCAAGGTAGAGGCTACTAGGTAGAGTTTTTTGTAAAGCTGTGACTTTCCCAATGAAAAGGGACAGCTTCAGCTGGCCCCGTTTTTGACTTTCCCCCTTTCCCCCTTGCTGGAAAGCAGATGTGATATCTGGAGATGGCGCAGCTGTCTTGGGATCATTAGGACAAAAGCCTCATGCTAGAAGCCTGGATCTTGATGACTTCTTTGAACAAATGCACCAGCCTTGGGTGGCTTGCTTCCAGATTTCTTATTACATGAGAAGGACAAACCATTTACTTATTTAAGCCATGGTAGTAGCTAGACTCCTCTGTAGTATTTATGTCAATCACTGTATGTCTGTTACATGTAGCCATAGCACTCTTAACTGACATACAATGACATGTAAAGTTTTACATACATTTTTAGGGGCAATGAGTCCTTCTTCTGAAGCCCAGGCATGAATTTCATATTAAGAGCTCTGCAAGCCAACTGGGCCTCACCAACCGCAAAATTCTAGCATACCCTTAGATCTCCTGAGTATAATTATGTGCAGCTGTGATTGGTTAAGTCAATGGTTTTTATGGCCTCTATTATTTGCATTCTTATCCACTTAGAGTAAAAAAAGAGAAGAGGTCTCAGAAATCATCTAGTCTAGTATTTTTCAAAATAGCATTAGAATTCCTTCTTCATACAAAAGCCTGCAAAAACTCAAGGGTGGAGGCTTGAGTTTGCAGGTTGGACCACAGTGCATCTTTGCAAGGTTTCTCATTTTATGGTTGGAAAACCACCAATCTTATCTAGTCCCCTCATTTTCTAGGTGTTAAAACTGAAACCCATCTGACCATTCGCTCACGAAATATTTTCTTGGGAACTTGCCATATATGCCAGGCTTGAGCTTGGCACCATTCACCAAAGATATGCTTTCACGGCTAATTACAGTCTAGTGAGGGGGTGTGAAATAATTTTCCTGGTGCTACCCACAGAGATTTTATCAGAACCATATCCAGAACCCAGGGTCCGGACTCCCATAACAGTGTTCAGCTCTCAATACCAGCAACTGCCTGTTGAAC